GAGCCTGAAGTTTGGGAAAGGGGGGCAGGCCCATCGCTGCTGCTGCGTGGCTGACCGGACTGGCCACTCCCTGCTGCACACGCTCTACGGCCGGGTAAGGAGCTGGGGGTGGGGAATCAAGCTCCTGGGGTTAATGGTTAAGAGACACAGTTTCAAAACTGATAGCTGTATTGCTTTTCTTTTTACTCAGGGAAAATAAAGAGAGAATTGTACAGGCTAGACATTTTCCTTGCAGACGTGTTCTTGAATTGCACAGCAAGATACATGTAGAATCCCCCCCCCCCTTTCAATTTGCCATTTTCAGGTTGCTCTTCCTATGTATTTTATTAAGGTGTATCTAAACTGCTTTTTTGCGGATAGGTCATTAGCATTGATGTTGATGCTGGCTAGAAAATGTCACAGATTTGCCAGGTTAACGTGGGGTCCTAAGAAATTCTGTCTTCACTAAGTGAAATGTTCTTTTTTATTGTTTTTCTAAGATGCGATAAGATGCAACCAATGCTCCCTCTAAGCTCTGGAGTGTTGTGAGCAGAAATTGTACTTTGTGAGCTCCTGGCATTAAAGTTGTGAGCGAGCGATTTGGCTGCTGCATAAATTAGTTTGCTCTGGAGCCCTCCTTCCTGAGCTGAGACAAAAATGTGTGAACCGGAGGCTAAAAAACTGTGAGCTAGCGCACACTAACTCAGCTTAGAGGCAACTCTGGATGCAACAATATTGAAAACAATAAGTTCTTAATGAAAGTAGAATATTGTCGGCCTGGCCTTCTTTAACCTAATTCTGCAGAAGGTATCAAATTACAAACCAAGAAGCTCTAGAAGTTTCTGCATTTTAGCTTTTCTTGGAAATGGAGTAAGATTTTTAGATATACCTTACTCTGTTCACATTTATTTTATAAATATTGTTCCATTATGTGTATTAGAAGGTGCTTGAAGTGCAGAGGTAAAATAAGCAAGATCTTTTTTGCTGGCTCTTAAAGGTGCGAAAGGTCCAGTGGGTTCCCAAGTCAACAAAGGACAAGGACTGCCATTCAGAATCATAGCAAGAGCCTCCCTGGTTCCCCCTCCATTCAAGCATACTAGCAGTTTGCAACTTATGTAAGCCTTGCACAGTATCCTAATAGGTAGATTGTTGTTGTTGTTGTTCAGTCACACAGTCGAGTCTGACTCTTTGCGACCCCATGGACCAGATCCCGCCAGGCCCTCCTGTTTTCCGCTGTCCTCTGAAGTTGGCTCAACTTCATGCTCGTTGCATCTATGACACTGTCTAACCATCTCATCCTTTGCCGCCCCCGTCTTCTTTGACCTTCAATCTTTCCCAGCATCAGGGTCTTATTCTCCAGTGAGTGCTCCCTTCTCATTTGGTGGCCAAAGTATTTGAGCTTCAGTTTCATTACCTGGCCTTCCAGGGAACAGTCGGGGATGATTTCTTTTAGAATTGACTGATTTGATCTCCTTGCAGTCCAAGGGACTCTCAAGAGTCTTCTCCAGCACCATAGTTCGAAAGCATCTAGGTCGATGAGGGCTATAATTACCACCTGAAGCTTTCTGCCAGCAGTGTTCTTTCTGATCTTTTCCTTCCCTTAAACTGGCTTTGAGTGCCTTCTTCCTGGTCTGTTTCTCCCTCTCTTCCGGCTGTTCCACTGACTCAACCGCTTGCTTACACTGGAAGTGGACCCCAAGGAATGCTCACCCCCCCCATTCTTCTCTGCGTCATATATACCTTTGTAGTACCTTGCCACTTAACACCCTCCACCTGGAGAAAGTCCCAAGTAAAACCAGCATTCACACTTGCTTTTCTGTCTTCTCACGTGCTCTGCCCTTGCTTTTTACGTTCCAGGATAATTTCCTGGAGCCATCAGTGGATGTCACTCTAGCTCCTTCAGTGCAGGCTTATTGTCTGACCATGCCCTAAAAGAGTGATTTATCTCTTTGCTCCTGAAAGGTTGACATGTGGTTTTTGTTCCCCCTCTCTAGTCTCTTAGATATGATACTAGCTACTTTGTGGAATATTTTGCCTTGGACCTCCTTATGGAAAACGGAGCATGTCACGGCGTTGTGGCCCTTTGCATAGAAGATGGCACCATCCATCGTTTGAGAGCAAAGAATACGGTCCTTGCCACTGGGTAATGTGCTGACAGTTGTATTGAAGAACTGTAGAAGTCTCCCCTCGCCTTGTCCTTCCTCTATCCTGAGACTCCAGGGGAGGAGTGGCTGATATTAGTCTTCCTCTGGGCAGAGTGGGAGAGCAGCGTGCTCCTTCCCGGCCCTCTTTAGGGTTGTCCTCAGGGGTCAGATGACTCCCACCATGCTCATTGGGAAGCCTTGTGTTCCCCCCCCCCAAGCCCTGCTTTGTTATACCCTGGCCCCCCACGCCATGCAAGCCTTCCTCCCCTGTCATTTTCTCTTCCTTCTCTCATTCGTGTTTGAGGGCCGGAACAGGTACTGCAGTGGGAAAGACATAGGTTGGGGGCCTGGAGGGGGTGAGCAGCCTGCTGCTCCTGCTCCTCCCCCATCTGCCTGCAGTGCTGGTGCCATAGTGGTGGGGGGTGGGGTGGCCGAGGGAGAGGGAGAGGCAGCTCCTGTTCCTCCTACCCCCACCTGCCTTGGGAGGAGCAGCAGGGTCAGCAGGGCTGAGTTCAGTGGTGGGGATCCTCAGCAGCTCTTTTTAGCTTGTTCTTCCCCATTCTGCTACAATAGGCTTAGTCTGTTGGGGGAGGCTAACCCCACCTTCACCTTTGAATTTATATGATAGTAAGACAGTTCCTAAGATTCCATTATTCTCAGCTTGGACCAAGAAATAGAGTTGAGAATAGAACTAGGGAGAGCTACTGCCAGTGTGCGCAGGTTACATTTTTCTATAAACCCGGGGGGAAGGGTCCTCCAAGTCTGCAGAAAAATACCCCCTCTCTGAACGTGGCCCCATTCGATCGACATGGGGGCCAGATTGAGTATCAGAAATAGGGTAGACAGCCCCCACAAAACTCTGTTTTTTTAAAAAATGTAAATTTTCAAAAAGATGATTGTAGATTGGGGGCGTGGTATTCAGCTTGATCCCTCAAGGGGTATCCTGTGGGGAAGTAGGCTTCCAGGTGTTTAACCAGCGTGGATGCGACTGTGCACCTGGGCAAATAGCCCAGTCTGTGTTATGATGCCTATCTGAGCACCCATTCAGACAGCTGGCCTCACCTTTTTGATGGAGCGGCTCGCTACTGGAGGTGGGTCAGGGCAGGTGTTTCTCATGAACTTAATAAGTAGGAAACGGACCAGGCAGTTCTTGATTGTGAATTGTTTTCTAGAGGATACGGGCGCACCTACTTCAGCTGCACATCTGCTCACACCACCACTGGAGACGGCACCGCAATGGTCACACGGGCCGGCCTTCCCTGCCAGGACCTGGAGTTTGTGCAGTTCCATCCTACAGGTAAAAGTTCTCTGTTGGGTCACAGGTAATTAAGGCTGGTGAAAAGCAATAGACTGTTCAGTCTAGACTGGGTCAGAAGGGGGCATCTTTAGTGCCGCTCACACACGTAGACTGTAAGATAGTATCATTTTGTTGAAAAATTTATAGGTTATTTAAATAAATATTGCATATGTGAGCCTGGAATGTAGTAGTAGCTTACTTAATGAATGACAATCAAGCCAAGATTTCTAATTTATACTAGTCACTTATAACTCACTTCCTGTGCTGAACTACCTAGTGAAATGTCTTCCTGAGCTAGCGAAGAACATGACATCCATGCCATCTCTTGGGCATGGAGCAGGGGTCATGGGGTGTGTCAGGAGGATGTAGTTGTGAATTTCCTGCATTGTGCAGAGGGTTGGACTAGATGACCCTGGAGTTCCCTTCCAACTCTGAGTCTATGATTCTAAATGATTTATAACACAACTTACTGTTTTGCAGGAATCTATGGGGCTGGCTGCCTTATTACGGAAGGCTGTCGTGGTGAAGGAGGCATTCTCATTAACAGTGAAGGCGAAAGGTTCATGGAGAGATATGCGCCAGTCGCCAAGGACCTAGCTTCAAGGGATGTTGTATCTCGTTCTATGACCATCGAGATCCGTGAAGGAAGGCAAGTGCAAGTGTTCTATGTTTGCCACATCTCTGACTGGGGTGTGGAGTTAGGATGCCCTATTTGTAACCTTCTCTGAAATCAACACTTCACTCCATTCATTCATTCATTCATTCATTAATTCATTCGATTTATAGACCGCTTACCCCCTAAGGGCTCTGAGCGGTTTACATTATACAGTTTATACAACTCCTACCTAAGGCCACACACACATACAATGCAGGGAAGTGACTAACCTAACAATCACCCTATAGTGGAGTCTTTGTTGTTATAGTCTTTCCCTTCAGCTGTATATCGTAATAAGATGGGCTTGTTTTCCTGAAAATAGTCGTAGGCAAGGCAGGACTTGGTTCATAGAATAATCTATAGACCGTGTGCAGTTGGAAGTTGACGTTCTTGGTAGACCTTTGCCACTTCTGGATGTATAGATTCCTACATATGTATTCCATGGGTTGTGTGGAGATAAATATAAGTGTTTACACAGCCCTGACGTGGATAGCCCAGACTAGCCTGATCTCAGAAGCTAGGCAGGGTGAGCCCCGGTTACTTTGTGGATGGGAGACCACCAAGGGAGTGCAGGGTTGCCACACAGAGGCAGGCAAGGGCAAACTACCTCTGCTCATCTTTTGCCTAGAAAACCCTACAGGGTTGCAACTTGACGGCCTTTTCCATCACCGTCAAGCTTTGCCCTTGACCTGGATGGCCCAGGCTAGCCGGGTCTCATCAGATCTCAGAAGCTAAGAAGGCCGGCCCTGGTTAGTACTTGTATGGGAGACCCCCCCCCCAAGGAAGTCCAGGGCAGGCAGTGTCAGGCCACCTCTGAAAGGTCTCTTGCCTAGAAAAGCCTGTGGAGTCATCATGACTTGGCTGTGACTTGACAGCCCTTTCCAACAAAGACAGACAGACGGTCAATTCTGGTTGCTGTGATGGCTGTAGTTTTGGTCTCCCGGGAGGAGATGTTTGATCAAACCGCACAGTGGCTTCTGTGTCTAAACGCCGGCACTTATTTCTTTTACTGACAGAGGATGTGGGCCCGAGAAGGACCACGTGTACCTGCAGCTGCATCACCTGCCTCCGCAGCAGCTAGCGATGCGTCTCCCGGGGATCTCGGAGACGGCCATGATATTTGCTGGGGTGGATGTGACGAGGGAGCCCATTCCTGTCCTGCCCACGGTGCATTACAATATGGGGGGGATCCCGACTAACTACAAAGGACAGGTAACTCTTCCAAAAATGACGTTATTCAACAGGGGTGGTATTTTTAACGGAAGGGTGTGTTGTGTGTGTGTGTGTGTCTTTTTTCCTGCAAACTGTTTGATCCAGGCACACGTGTGTGTGTGTAAGTGCTGTCATGTCGCCTACGACTTGTGGCAACCCTATGAATTAACGTTCTTCCAAATGTCCTATCTTTGACACCCTTGCTCAGACCTTGCAAACGGAGGGCTTCTGTGGCTTCCTTGGTTGAGTCCGTCCATCTCATGTTGGGCCTTCCTCTTTTTCCTGCTGCCTTCCACTCTTCCTACCATTCTAGTCTCTCCCTTCGACCCTTCTCATAATGTGACCAAAATACAACAGCCTCAGTTTAATCATCTTAGCTTCTGGGGAGATTTCAGGCTGGATTTGATCTGGAACCCACTGGTTTGTCTTTTGGGCGGTCTACGGAATCCGTAAGACTCTCCTCCAACATACATTTCAAAGCAGTCTATTTTCTTCCTGTCAGCTTTCTTCATTGTCCAACTTGCACACCAATACATACTAATTGGAAATACTACAGCATGAATTACCCTGATCTTGGTCGCCAGCGACACACCCTCACACTTAAGAATCTTTTCTAGCTCCTTCATGGCTTCCCTTCCCAGTCTAAGTCTCCTTCTGATTTCTCCCTTTCAGTTGAGGATAAAGCCAAAGAATAGGAAATTATCTCCCTTTCGGTTGAGGATAAAGCCAAAGAATAGGAAATATTGAACACATGTCACCATGTCGATGAAAACTATCCGGGCGTTTGGTTACTCCTTTGGTTACAGTTGACCACTCTTGCGCCACCTTATTGCTCTTCTTTCTACTTCTTAAAAGGAGGGTCCCTCTCCTTCTGTACTGTTTGCTCTCTGTTGCTGCAATAAATCGACAGTGCCATGCGTATTTTTATTATTTCGATGATGACAGGTGATCACTCATGTCAATGGCCAGGATCAGGTCGTGCCAGGCTTGTATGCTTGTGGCGAAGCGGCATCTGCGTCCGTCCACGGGGCCAACCGCCTGGGGGCAAACTCTCTCTTGGACTTGGTGGTCTTTGGCCGCGCCTGTGCTCTTAGTATTGCGGAATCCTGCAAGCCCGGTAAGCCTCCCTTGTTTACTCAGATTGTGTCTCCCAAGGAAGGGTTCCGCAACTCCTTTTTGCTTTCTTTGATGGAAGAAGACTTCCTCCAACATAGAGAGACCTTTTCTGGTGGAAACAAACATGGCAGCTCATGGCATCCAGCTTGGCGGGGAGGAATCATAGGATACAGCCCAACACATTCACCCTGTAGCTCCGCGGAAGTGAAGCCACGGATTATCATCTGGACCAGGGGTCTCCAGCATGGTGCCTGGGGGTGCTGTGGTGCCAGCCATCACCTGTTCTGGGGGCCACCACGGGCTTTTTTAGAAAGTGGGTGGGGCAAGGTGGGGGTTTTGCACAGCAGGGCCCCTGATTGGCCATTGGAAGTTTGATTGGCTGTACAGATTTTTTTTTAAAGTTTCTTTGGCAGCAGCTGCCACCAGTGCAAAAGGATCCTTTTGTGTCTCTCTGTCAAAATCCCAAATGTGCCTGCAGGCTCAAAAATGTTGGGGACCCCGTATCTAGACACAGAAGTTCTGGAAAACGGAATATGATTGAGGGGACTATGATTCGGAGGTGGTGAAGTGGCACGGGGGGAGAGGGGCGACTGCTGGTACTCTGACTTCATTCAGATAATGCTAATAGTGTTTGAACATTCAGATGTAAGGAGAGTGCAGCATTATCACCCTGTGGGCCGTGTTGTCCCTGCACATTGGAAGCACCATGCAGTAGTTTCATGGTGGCCCATAACAGTCATAGGGATAGGAACATGGCCCTTGCCTCTGGGCCTTCATCATTTTTGACATTGCTTCCTAGTGGTTAGGAGATGCGAAGCTAGAATTCACGCTGTGCTTTGGGTAGGTGAAGCCACTTCTTCCCCTCAGCCCTAGCCAGCGTTTTCCAGCACAGTTTGAAGCCGATATGATTGCTCATGAACCACCTGTAAAAGTTCAGCTTTTAAAAGGAGCTAGATGTCAGTGGTCTCTCTTCAGCTTATGGAGGCCTGGTGTGGCAGATGTGGCTTCATGGAGTCCCGTGAGGGAGCTATTTTTCCCTAGTTAGGCTCTGCCAACTTCGTGGGGTGGAGGGGTAATGGCATTGCTCATCAGTAAGTAGCGCTACCTTCTTGCTGCTGGCCTCCCTAAAACAATGCTGCCATGTCTGCAGACCTGAGTGGTCCTACCTGATGCTTCTGTGTTTACTCTGATTAGGAGAACCAGTTCCGTCAGTTAAACCAAATGCAGGGGAAGAATCTGTCGCAAACCTGGACAAATTGCGCTTTGCCAATGGAAACCTAAGGACATCAGAACTGAGGCTTAATATGCAGAAGGTGAGAAGTTTGACTGAGGGCTGGGCTATTAAACTAACGTGATGTGAATGGGAAACTGTTGAAGTCTAATGAAGAAGCCTCGAAATGTAGATTTCTGAATTTGGGAAGAAAAATAAATGAGGATTCTTGAGAAGACTCCGATAGTCTCTCAGTAAAGTGCTGTGAAACCCACTACAACTTGGATATTGACACATGATCTGGTGATATAATGTGGTTGTAGCAGCCATCGAGACAAAATTAGGGCTTGAGTTAAACCACAAACACTAAAAGTTAAAAAGGAATATGAACAACTCAGATGACAGAGGGGGTTTGAGGAGGAGGAGGAGGAGGAGGAGGAGGTTGGAACTGAAAGAGGATTGGGCACTGTGTGACTTGCCTGTGATTGGTCAGGTTGTGAAGCTGCATGCCTGATTGGTGGAAATGTGAGCATTCTATGGCTGGAGAGTCAGTTGGGCAAATGGAAGAGCAGAAGAGAAGACTGTGAAGGAAGCCATGTTAAGAAAAGAAGACCCAGAAAGGCTTGGTTAACAGAACAGCCCAAGGGAGGTCCATGTGGTGGATTCAAATGGGGTGGACACAGTGGGCCAAAACAAGTTCTGTTCAGGGACAGTAGGGCTGGTTTTTCTCCCTAATATTTTTCTTGGCTTTGTATGCACTCAGTGGAGTGTAGCTCCTGATCATATTACCATGCTAATTAATACCTCTAAAGGCAAAGTCCGGGAGTGAGATAAGGAACAGAAACCTCGAGTAGTGACGTAGTAGCTAGGGGTGTGCATAAAAAAAAAAAATCGGAAAAATTCGGATTCGGGTTTACGGGACCCGAATTTTTTCGGGAAACTCGAAAAAACCCGAATATATATATCGGTAAAGCATAGATATCCGAAATATTTCGGGAAACCCGAAAAATTCGGGTCCATTATAACCAATGGGGCCATTGAAGTCAATGGCAAAAATCTTCTTGAAACTTTGTGGGGGGCTGGGGGGGAGGGGGTTTGGGATAGAGGCTCCAAACATGGAGCGTGCTTACTGGAACCTCTCCCCAACATACCCACCAA